AAACATGTACCGGGTCTAAAAGGAAATTTGATTTCATTGGGGGCTTTAGACTCAGAAGGCTACCGATTTTTTGCTCAAGGTGGAGTGTTAAAAATTTCTAGGGGAGCAATGGTGGTAGCAAAAGGAGTTTTGTCAAAAGGCTTGTATAAACTTGTAGGAAAAGATTTGACACGGAAGTTGCCAGAAGGAAAAATTACAAGTGCAACGAGCGGAGCATTTGCATGGAAGAAGCGGGTGACATTTGAAGATTCTCAGGTTGGTGGAGACTGTGACCTCGCCGGAACGAGCGGGGTGGAGCCGGACCATGGTTTGATTAATTAATCAAGGTGGAGTTTGTTGGGATTGATTAATTAAAAAGAAAAAAAAAGAAAAAAAAGGAATATGCATGCATACACACCAATGCATGTGAAGTGGACCCATGCATGTGAAGTGGAGTTGTCTCCTTCTCTTGGTTCTTGGTGGTGTACGAAAATAATGGGAATATGGGATGGAGATGTTTTTTTTTTGGCCTTCACCTCTTATAAGAGGAATCCTTTTCTTTATAATTGTGTGTGGGTTGACACACGGCCAAGAGAGAAGAAAAGAGGGAAAGGGTGTGAAGAGAGAGGTGCTACACAAGATATCACCAATATTGTGTGAGTGAGTGTAGAGAGTAATTGGTTTTAGTTACTCGGAAAAATACATCCGGGTGTAGGGTGTTAAAAAGTCTGTTTAAAAGTGTCTGGTATTTAGTACTTGTAAACAGGGAGAGTTTTTTGTGTATCGTTCTGAAATAGTGAAGATATAATTTTTCTCTCATATATTCTCCTTGTGTTTGTTCTCTCATTTTTCTGGTGTTCTCAATATTTTTCGGTATCTTACGCGCTTAAAATTCCAACACTATTGACTCAAAAAGAAATAGAAACACTACATGCATGATCAATAAATGAAATAAAGAAATAGTAGGAAAAATCATTTTTTATATTTTGTAGAAGTGGGGACATGAGACCCATGTTGCGTAGGTGAGATGTAGCTTTAGAAAACTCCATATAGGGAGCACCTTGTAATTTACACTCGTAGGAATGGGTGCACATTTGATCAAAGTAATCAAACAAAAAAGAGAAAAGGAGATGGAGTAGGAGGGCACTACTCTGTAGTAGTATTTACGATCTTGATTTCGTAGAAATTAGCAAAATGAGAAATAATAAGAAACGAAGAACAATTCCTTAGAAGGAAAGAAAAATCTTGTTCTTATTCAATTTCTTAATATACTTGTATGGGGGGTATATACCAAGGAAGAGAAAAGAAAATCCACGTCATATCTAGTTAACAAACTATATACTAATAATAAAAGGTCAAACTCTATTTTATTCTAACACCCCCTTCAAGTTGGAATGTGCTTGAATGCCCAACTTGGAAACTAGCTTATGATGAGTATGTAATGCTAAGTATTGGTGAAGAGAGCTGCTAGTTATTTTGTACTAGGAATATGTTGAAGAGTGATAAAACCATTTTGAAGCTTCTCACGTATAAAATTACAATTTAATTCAATGTGATTTGTACGTCCATGGTAGATAGGATTAGTGGCTTTGTAGATGGATGCCTTACTATCATAACAGACAACACTGAGCACAATATTAGGTGCCTCTAGATCAGGAAATAATCTAGACAGCCAGGCCAATTTAGTTGTGACTCTTTGGAGTGATCTATACTCAGCTTGTGTAAAACTCGGAGAAATAGTGGTTTGCTTCGTAGCCTTCCAAGATATAGGATTACCACCCAACATGACAAAGAAACCACTGATAGACCTGCGAGTGTTGGGACAGGCTGCACAATCATAGTCATTATAAGCCTCCAAGGTGAAATGAGAAGAGACATTGAAATAAGTTGAGATATCTCAAGGTACATTGAGCATCGTCTTCACAATGAGTTTATACATGATCTCGCATAAATTGGCTTAAGAATTTACACCATATACATTATCTGGTCTAGTGTGGGTTCAAAAATTGAGTTTCCCAACCAAACATTTATAAAGACTAGGATCTAGAAGAGGACAATATGTGCTAGCCTAGAGTTGGAGATTTCTTTCTAAAGGAAAATTAACATGTGAAGATAAAGGGCAGCCAAATGTTCTAAGGAGATCTAGGCTCTAACAGTTGTTATTTTAACCATAGGAGAAAAAGTTTCATGGTAATTTGAACCTGTCGTTTGAGTAAAACCTTTGATGACTAGTGTGCCTTTATGTCTTTCTAATGTTCCATCTGACTAGAACTTGAGTTTATAGACCCCTTAGATGATAATGAGTTTCTTTCCCTTAGGTAATTTTCAAATTTCCAAATTACTAATTTCCTCTAAAGTCTTAAAATCTATGACCATAGCTTCTTGCCATACTGGATCAATGTTGACTTCTTTAATATTCTTAGCTCCTCCATATTTGAAACATTGTGAAAAAATTGTTGACTAGGTTCTTCTAGAGCCCCTAAACATATGTGTGAAGTGGAGGGAAGAGAGGTGATAGTGTGAGGACAAAAGCATTCTGAGTAAGGGATATTGGATAAATGAGAAATGGACTCTATTGTGGATTGACACACATAACCTTTGAGGTAAGTGGGACATTCATGTGATATGGTAGATCTCTTAATAGGCTGAGAGGGAGAAGGAAGAGAAGTATTCGAGTGGTTTTTGGTAGAAAGTGGAGTATTATATTTAGGATATTCGAATGTGTATAAGAAAAATAAGAAAAGGTAGAAGGATGTGAAGAACTGCTTCTAGATTGGGACAAATAATCAGAATGATCTTCAAAAAGTTGAGAGAGATACTAGGTTATAGGAAACAAAGGATTTTTGGACAGTTTAGTGTGAAAGGGAAATATGTTTTTATGAAAAACTACATCTCTAGAATCTTCAAACAAAAACCTTTAGATGTTTCTGTGTGGATGCATAACATAGACAACCAAAAACCTTTAGATGCTCATATTGTGGAGGTTTAACAAAGAGGAATTCATATGGGGATTTTCCCTTTAAAAGTTTTGTGGAGAATATATTGATGAGGTAGGTGGGAGTAAGGACAAACACACCCCATAACTTCAAAAAAATATTTTATTGAAGAGACAATGCTCTAGAGGTTTCAAGAAGATGTTTATGTTTTCTCTCAACAACTCCATTCTATTGAGGGGTACCCTTGACACTAGTTTTATGGATTATTCCTTTAAGGAGGAAACATTGAGGTGTGGTTATGCTTTTTTCTAACTCCAAAGCATTACCAGAACTGACAGTTTTGATATTAACACCTATTTGTGTGTTGATCATGGTGACAAAGGTTTGAATGAGATCAGGGGCATTGATTTTGGATGTAAGATGGTATGTCCATGTGGCTCTTGAAAAATAATCCACTATGGTATGAAAATATTGGAAACCATTATAATTTTTAGTCTGGTAAGGTCTCCATAAATCAATAAGTATCAATTCAAATATGTGATTAACATATGTTTGACTATGTGGAATAGGCCATTTATGTTCTCTAGCTCTAGGACAAATATCACAACAAGAAAGAGAATCATATTTGTCAACAAAACAAATCTGTTTGAGAGTGTAAACATTTAAATGACCCAATCTCATATGCTAGACTTCTACATCAAAAACTTTATAAGCTTTATTACAAATGGACAAAGAAAACAGATTATCAGAATTTATTTGGTTCTAGAAAAAAATGAGAATTTACTGGAGTGAGATAAAGTCCATCATGTATCTCACCAAGATCATTTGCCTCTACATGGAAATACCATGTAAAGCACATTTACTTTGTGTGAAACTAGCGGTAAGGTTTAATTGAAAACAAAACTTTCCCCATATAAAGTACTGAAATGAAATCCGGTGCAAAAAATACTTCATCATGGGATATGTTACATGGAATAATTGATGTCCCTCTTTGAAAGACCTTCATCATGGTAAAGAATGTGTATATTTTTAAGGTTGGTCAAAAGGCGAGGGTTACCACACATATGGTTAGTGGCTATAGAGGGGAGGTGTGGTGAGAAAGGAATCGTGTCCAACTTCCGTAGTTCGCACTTTAGATCCATTGCCAATAGTGATATATAATGGTGAATTTCAAGTTTGAGAAAAGAAATGAGAAAGAGTACCTAAGTCACAGTCAATGTGGTGAGAGGCCCCCGTGTCCAGAAACCAAGTGGGTTTCCGAAGGGACATGGTATCAAGGTGATGAGCTAAGGTTATGGGTGTGGGGTTAGGGGCGGCAGGCAGGCATTGTTTGGGGTTGGATAGGGGGCTGTCATGGGTGGGGGTGTGGGTAAGCTCTGGGGTAGGGGGTTTGGGGGCTATACGAGTAGGGGTGGATGGTGTAGGTTGGTTTAGTAAGCATTGGCCTGATATGGGTGGGGAGGGGGTGTAGGTCAAGGGCCTTAAAGGCATGGGCTGGGATTTGGGTGAGATGAGTTTCAGAATACGCAACTGTCATTGGGTAATCATCGGTTTGAGCAGGAGTTTCATCCGCGATCTCGTCCCCGTTCACCGCTGCCGTGGCCATTTTTGTGCCCATAGCCACCGCAGCTACTGATGTTCTCGTTGTTTCCGCTACCATGGTAGAAGCAACATTGCTGCCCTGCGGCTTCCCCCCGTTGTGCTTCCCACCACTCGCTAGGTGATTATCAGATCAAGCCGCAATAAGGGCAGTCCTGGCCCCATTCGAGAGAGAAGTAACTTGCCGATCAGGCAGCATAAACGCATAACGGGTTTGAAGAAATATGGGTACTGGCTCCTGAAATTGCAGAAACAAGGTATGGGCTTGGAGATCATCTTGTAGCCACTAAGAAATTGAAGGACAAGTTAAAGCTCAGACATTGGAGCGTCGACATCCTTTAGCCAATCTGCAATATTCTTGAGATTTTAACAATAAGTAGGCATGAGCTTGGTACCTTTGATGTTGGTAAGAAATTGGTGCTCATGGTGCATGGCGTGGGCCATGTTTGTTATCATGGAACAGATCATGAATAATATGTTAGAGTTCAGAAACAGTAGAAGCACAAGAGATAATCATATCAGAAACTTCATTAGTAGTAATATAGAGAATCAACCCTTAAATAAGAGCATCATGTTGGAACCATTCATCATCATCAACAGTAGAGGGGATGTTGGATCCTGAGAGAAAGCCATGGAGATTGAATCAACGAATCAGGAGCAGCAGGAAGAGACAAATCCATTTTTTGAAAATTGGGTTGAGAGAAGCTTAACTAGATGGGGACATAAAGCTTGATATTAGAGATGGTTGAGAAGGCAAGGTGAGGGGGATTTGAGGACGAAGTGGAGGAATATTTTTCTACGGTCGACATGGTAAAAGGTTCACAACGTGACAATGGGGAGTCTTGCCGCTTACGTAGGAGGAAAAATCGACGGGAAGAAGGTCAGCGTAGGAGGAAAGACAATGGAAGAGGATATTGACGAAGGAGGGAGAGGGGGGGCTAGGGTTAAAAAGGCTCTGGTACCATGAAGAATGATTGATTTCATTGATTCAACAATGAGTAATTACATCAATATATACTAGGATCACCACTCCTAATTATGGTAGGATAATATAAAAAGGAAACATATACAAAAGGTAACTACCAATAATATCATAACTACATGAAATATATCCAATATATTTAACAATATGTGTTTAACATAAGGATAGGAACGTGATTACCCTTGGTGCTTGAGCCAAGGGTTTCTTTGGAAACAGTTTCCATACTTTTGAGTAGGGGTAAGAAATGCATACACACACCCTGCTCAGACATCTGCCTTTGTGGGATTCAACTGGTTGTTATATACATTACCATCTTTATTCAATTGAGCCCCAAAGTTTCACCAACATGACTCAAAAAATCAAATTAAGCGAATACAATGTGACGGAGGTAGCTAGTATTATTGATTGCCTTGTGTAGCTTCTAACATAGTCACATCAGGTTGCAATGTTACATATGGATCCACATTTTGAGGTATTTTTGAATATTATAAAAAGTTAAGTAGATATTTTTAAAATATACATATTGAGGCAAATGTAACAATCTCTTATGTAACAGGATTTTTTTGTACACTCTTGTGAAACGAATATGACCTTACACATATCAAATATTGCAAAAAAAAAACAAATCAAATATTTGAAAATATAATGCTTCTAGGTAGTTGGTAATACCTCTCATGGATGGGGGACATGCTCACAAAAAATACTTGAGTTCTCAAATGATTGACATGTATTTGAAGCCAATTAGACCATGTTTTCAAGGCCATCTCGTAGCTTCGCAGCATATTTACATCCTTGTAGATTCCGTTTATCCCTTCACTAAATGAACCCCACCTATAACTCCCAAATTTTACAAAGACTCAAGAAAGTGTTTCCATTGAATCTTTTTGTCTTCAGAAAAAATCAATAAGTTCCTTCATTTTTAAGGAATAATTACTTACAAGACTTTGATATTGGGTTGCCTCCACCAAAGATAAGTATTGAAGACAAGATAATCAGCATTAGTCCATCGGCGACCATGCTTTTTAATTGCATTGGCTCTCACAATTCGTTCTGGGAGGCGGTGGTGCACCGGATCATCAGAGTTGGATTCCACTAGCAATGGGGACCAGTAAAATTCAATTGTTGCATTGTATTCCTACAATCATAACCAGATAAATTTAGATAAGGGTTTACGACACTCAATATTTAACATATTATTTGCGTGATAGTATCCCTTCAAAAGGTGGCAATAGGCTTTTGTTTGGGAATAACATTTTCAATTAGCATTTTGAATAAAGCTTTTAAGGTGCAGATTAACTTTGAAAAGGCTAAACCTAAATGTTACTTTTAGATAACATTTTTAAAATGTTAACGCTAATCTCTAACTAATGTTGTTCCCAAACAGAACATAGGAAGTATGGTGTAAAAAACATTATCTAGTAAAGTTGGATAATGTAGCTAGAGTGGTTTCCAGATAATGGTAAATTATTAAAACCCATTATTAAATTCAATAGTCACTTCTCACATTCTTAATATACTACTCCGTATTGTATTCATTGTAAGTTTTTATAGGCTAAACTTTTTGATTTTTGGATGAATTGTTTTTTATGTGTGATTAAATTTAATTCCACCATATATTTTTTTTGAAGTCAATTCCACCATATATTTATCTCAAGAGATTTAAATAAAGAGTATTGAGTAAGAGACAAAAATATAGAATTCAAGAATCAGAACGAAAGAACTTCGATTAATCATGAACCTTGAGGGTATTTATAGCTTCCTAATCCTATTAAACTTCTCTTAGAAAACTTAGGTAATTCTTCCCCCAAGTTACTAATCCTAGGCGCACGACTCTTGCATAATATGTAATCCTCACGGCCCGAGCGGGCTGACCCGCTAATCCGCCCATGGGTTACTCTCGGGTATGGGCTCTAGACGTTGAGTTGAATGACCTGATAGACATATCGGGTTAATTACATTATTATTTACACTTTTGCTCAATATACCCATCACAAGCCTCTTAGTTTTTTGTGTGGGCGTGCCCATCAAGAAATTACAATTAATAGCCACAATAATTAACCACAATGTAACTATGTCTTTCGAATCTTAAACTTGCAAATCACCTCGATCGCGTCACTGATCACCAACTGCTTCCCTTCATTCCCATCATTCACAATAATCATTACCTCTCTTAGGATGACACGTGCAACCAACCATCATTGCCATCATGAATCCTATCATTGTTAATTGCCTTGTAAACTGGAGAACGTCCTTCAATATGCAACTTGCTTTTGATTGTCAGGCCTTCCCATAAAGCTTTCATGGAAACAAATGCATGCACCTTTCCAATACATATTTTTCGCATCGCCCCCTTGTCCTATGTTATAAATAGAGCACCATCTTCCCATTTCATATCAACCATTGTGATAAAAAAATGTTCTTCTTTTTTCCCTCATTCTCTTTTTTGGTGGAAACCATCCTCCCCTTTCATTTCATCACTGAACTGGGTGCTATGCGACAAAACTCATCTCAACCTTCCAACTTCTCACACTGCCGAGGAAGGTACACTATGAAGACTCATCTAAGTCTTCAAGTGCATGGTGACCCCAACACTGAGCGGGAAAGGCGAGACTCCTGCACTTGTCATCGGCCAGTTCCCAACTCCCATGGACTTGTGCATGGGATAGAAATATATGGGCCTCTTGCCGTACCTCACCGCACAACATGCGGCTCGTAGGCCATGACGGTAGCAAGACCTTGTGGTTCAATCTGTCAGTCTTGTCCATCCTACGATGGTCTTTTTCTTGGGTGACATGCGTCGCTGCAATTTCCAATGCGTGTCAATGACTCTTAATCTGAAGAGCTTAGAATTTCCTCCTCAAGTCTAGGCTGGGACTCCCTTCTGGCAGTCAGTTGTGATTGGTTGTCACAAAATCCATGCTTTGGACATGCCCATCGTTTAGACCCTTTACTTATGTTCCTTTTCATCTTATTCTTTGTAATATGCAAGCATTTCATCCTTGTTTAATGAAACTAGCCAATGGCTTATAGAGTTCCGAGATCTTATTTCTCTAAATGTAATCTCGCTCACACTTGTAAACTTATATTTATCAATGGAAACTTTCTTCCTTTTACCATATCTATAGACTTAGTAAAGATACCTAAGGGGTCAAGTGGTTTCCGGAACCTTTTTTGTCCCAAAAGCCTCTTAGACTGTGTTATGTTCACCTGATATGATCTAATTTTTTGAAGTTCTGATCAGGTCTGATATGGTCTAGTTTAATATGATTTGATTAGATCTCATCTGATATATATTTGATTTAAATTAAAATAAAAATTATTATTCTAATAGTTAAAATAATATTAATATAATGATAGTAAGAATATTAATAATAGAATAATAGTAATAGTAATACTAATAATATTAATAGTAAAAATAATAGTAATAATGAGAATAAATGTAATAATAATAATAATAATAATAAGTATAATAATAATATTTGTAATGATAATAATAAATTTAATAATAATAATATAGTAATAAAAATAGTAATAATAATAGTAATAATAATAATAGTAATAATAATAATCATAATAATAACAATAATATTAATAAAAATGACCATAAAAATAATAGTTATATTATTAATAAAAAGAGTAATAACAATAATAGAAATTATAGTAATAATAATTATAATCATTATAATAATAATACTAATAGTAATAATCATAATAAAAATATTAATAATAATATTATTATTATAATCATAATAATAATAGTAATAAAAATAGTAAAATTAATTATAATCATAATAATAATAGTAATAATAATAATAGTAACAGTAATAACAGTAATAATAGTAATAGTAATAATAGTAGTAGTAATAATAATAATAATAATAATAACAATATTAATAATAATTATAATCATAATAATAATAATAGTAATAATAATTAAAATAATAGTAATAGTAATCATACTATTATTAAAATTTACTTTGCTAAAATCTTTTATGAATGGATCCGATATCATCTGATTAGATCTGCTCTAGTGTGATCTGATTTAATCTAATTTGATTTTAATTGAAATAAGTAATAAGCAGGAAAAATAAGTTGAAAGGAGTGCAGCCTTAGCCTCCTTGCTCAGTAAAACTAGCTAAAAGGTCAAGGGGTCGCAGAATCCTTTTGGGTCGCGAAGGCCTCTTTGCCTCCATTAATTTTTTAGTGAAACTAGCTAAGAAGCCGAGGGGTTCCAAGATCCTTTTTGGTCCCATAGGCCTTCTTACCATCATTCTTATCAGAACTAGCTAAGGGGTCAAGGAGTTCTGGGATCCTTTTTTGTCTTAGATGCCTCATTGCTTAGCAAAAGTAGCTAAGGGGTCAAGGGGTTCTGGGATCCTTTTTGGTCCCAAAGGCCTCCTTGCTTAGTAAAACTAACTAAGGGGTCAACGGGTTCTGGAATCCTTTTTTGCCCAAAGGCCTCCTTGCATCTTTGCTTAACAAAACTAGCTAAGAGGTCCAGAGGTCCTGGGATCCTTTTTAGTTCTTGAGGCCTCCTTTTTTAGTGAAACTAGCTAAGTGGTCAACACGCCCCGGAATCCTTCTTGGTATCGAAAGCCTCATTGCCTCCTTTCTCAATAAGACTAGCTAAGAGGTTTAAGGGGTTCTGAGTTTTCGTTGTTGTCTAGGAGGTGGCCTCCTTGCTTAGCAAAACTAGATAAGGGGTTAAGGGGTCTCGGGATCCTTTTTAGTCTCGAAGGCCTTCGTGCTTAGTCAAACAAGCTAAGGGGTTAAGGGGTTCTAGTCCTTCTTGCTCCCAGAGGCCTCCTCAACTCCACTGTTAGAAAAACTAGCTAAGGAGTCAAGGGGTTCCAAGATCTTTTTTGGTCCAGGAGGCCTCCTTGCCTCCTTGCTTAGCAAAACTAACTAATGGGGTTAAGGGGTTCTAAGATCCTTTTTTTCTAGAGGCCTCCTTGCTTAGAAAAATTATCAAAGAGCACGAATATAAGAAGAAAGCTAACGGGTTGTGGGGTCTCGGGCTATAACACCTCAAGCCTTTGTACCTCATCGCTGAATTTTATTGAATTGAAGGATAGCATGATGTTGGGGGTCCCGGGTCTCTCTTCGCGGGCCTCCCTCACACTTATTACAACTCAAAAATGACAAAATTACATTCTATTAGTAGAACTTGACCACGTTCTCAGCATTCCAAGTCCTGTTGATGTCTTTTCCCTTTGGCATCTTCAACTTAAATGTCCTGGGCCCGACCAGCACCTTTGTAATATAGGGATCTCATAAGATTATGCAAAACTGACACCTTTCATCCACTGACTTTTCTCCCTTTTCCCATAAGACATAATCCCCACTTGGGCATCAACATAATGTTGCACTTGTCTCCGATAATTTTCAGCCCAAGCAAAGGCCTCATCTTTTCTCTCTTCTAAGAAATTCAACTAAACTACTTGATTCGTCTCATTGACCTTCAGTTGGTAGTTCTCAAATCTCAAACTCGGGATCATTACCTCAACTAGGGTCCTTTGCCTCAAAATCGTAAGCTAGGCCAAATGAGGCATCTCCTGTTACCTTTCTCGGGGTGGTTTGGTAGGGCTAGAGGATCCAAGGGAGCTCATCAGCCCACTGTCTTCCGGTGGCCCATAACTTCTTCTTTATCCCTTCAATGATCATCCTTCTCGCATTTCAAACTTATTTGTATGCCTGGGGATAGGCCACCAAAGCCTTGTTATGCTAGATCCCCCAACTATTTAAGAACTTAGTGATTGCGAAAACCTTAAACTACTCTACCTCAGGATATCGGATCTCACAAAATTTGTTATTTTCTTCTCGGTGATACTAGCCAAAGCGACCACCTCAACCCACTTGGTGAAATAATCAATTGCTACCATAGCCCAAAGTACCCCTCCCTATCCAGAGGGCATAGCCCCTACCAAATCAAGCCCCTGACTAAAAAAGAGGATTACTATGCTCACTTGGGTACAGTTAGTTGCTGGTCTACTGGAAACATTCTAGAATTCTTGGCAAACCGCGCACTATCGAACACTCTTCATAGTCCTTCCTGATTGTTGACCAAAAATAACCTTGGTGAAAGACCCTCCGAGAGAGTGTAAGCGCCTCTTGTGGGCTGTAGATATTCCGACGTGAATCTCCTTCATGATTTCATCGACTTCTTTCCTCTGACAACGCAGAAAGAACCTATTGTATGCCCTTTTGTATCACACATCATCCTGGATGGCATTACTCTGGGTGTGGATCTTCAAAAATCTGGCTTCTTGGGGGTCTTCCGGTAACTCCCCATCATTAATATATCAGGCCAGGTGATCCAACCCCGGTCGCCACCCATTCCACAGACTCTAGTCGCTTAAGGCTAGAATGACTAAGTTCTTCGATGTGTGCCAAGTTGATAATTCTTTCTAAGGTCCCTTAACTAAGTATCATCTAAAATATTAGCATTTGAGTTATACTCCCAGGGAAATAGGGTAAATTCAAACTCCATTGACTCTAACATTCGCAAGGGGAAGTCTCTGTACTGCTTCATCCTTTCCTCCTTGGCTTCAAACTATTTACTCCTAACCACCAGCTTAGAGTCACAAAAGATATGAATACTTTTGGCTCCCATATTCGTGGCGATCCTTAGACCACAGAGCAATGCCCCGTACTCAGCCTCATTGTTTATCACCTAGAATCTGAATTGGATGGCATAGTAAACTCGGAAACCCTCCAAGGTTGAAAACACAACCCTTCCTAGGAATGGCAATTCAACCTGAATCATCTTAACCGATCTGACCAAACACTAAAATATCCGAATCTGAGTCGAGAATAAAATAATCTGAACCCAACCTAAAACTTTTTACCCGAACACGGCATCGAGTCAAGTCGGGTGCGGGTTTATAATTTTACCCAACTCAAAAACGACTAGATCCAAACCTGAATATTTTATAACCTAAAACCCCTTTCTACGGATATAATGAGCACTCTGTATAATCTCTTTCTTCGATTCTCTAGTGCAACCGCATCTCTCTCTTGGTCTTTTCATCGCATCTCTGTAAGTTTTCCATTCTCCTTGCATGGTTCTTCCTTCCTTGCATCTCTGATCTGTCTACTGTCTTGTTCGCATTTCTAGCCACGCAATCGTCTTGACAAGGTGCTACTATACTAAGTATGCCTTTTATAATTATTTTTATAATTCCTCAATCAAAAAATGAGATACAAAAAAGAGACACATAAGAATTTAGATTTATTCTTTTTAAAATTTCTGGGGTACGTCAAATTGGTAATGAGTTAAATTACGGGTTTGGGTTCTGGTTCTGGTTTTAGGTTTAAATGTCAGGTTTGGGTCGGGTGTTTGGTTAAAAAGACGGGTTCCGGGCTGGGTCAGGTTCGGCTTTCAGTTTTAAAGGTCAGGTCGGGTTCAGGTATAGTACTATCCAAGCCGAACCCGACCCGTTGTCATCCCTAACCCTGCCACCGCAGGATTGTCTTCTAGAAGATCCATTGGTGGATATCACCCACCGTTCCTCTTCACGAATCTTCTTCTCCAACTCTCTTGCCTTGTCTCGGGTCGTACACTCTACTTGAAAATCCACCAAAGCTTGCCCATGAAAATGAATTGAAGCAAGACTACTAGACCATGAAAGATAATTAATCGGAATGATAGAACTTCTATTAGTCATGGATCTTTAGGAGTGTTTATAACCTTTCAAGCGTCCTAATCCTATTAGACGTTCTCTTAGGAAACTTGGGTAACTTTCACCCAAGTTACTAACCTTAGTAACACGAATCCAGCCCATAAAGTAATCCCCACGGCCCGAGCGGGCTGACCCGCCAATCCACCCATGGACTACTTTCGGATATGGGCTCTAGAAGCTGGGTTACGTTGAATGATCCAGATAGATATATCGAGCTAATTTGTTATGGATGGTAAGGTAGAATGCTTAAATATTACTAGTAGTTTTATTATTGTTTTTGGTAAGGTTATTATTTTTAATGGTTATTTAATTATTATTATTATTAGGAAGTACTATTATTATACTCCCTCCGATCCGTCGAACAATAATTTTTTCATGGCGCGTTACGTTATTTGATTGAAGTTATTTTCAAATTATTTTATGAAAAATAGTGTGGAATTAAATAAAAATTATCTCTTTAAAAATTATAGCAAAAGATCTGCAAAACTAGAGATGACATGACTATATTATTTTTATCAAACGAGCATAGAAAATATAGCAACAAAATGAATAAAGTTTGATCTTGTGAATAGTGAAAAAAAAAATTATTTTTGGACAGATGGAGTATTAGGTTATTAGTATCTTGGTTTATTGAGTTACCTTTTATGTTTAGGATTATTTAGATTTGAAAGCTATATATGTATCCATTACCATGAAGTTATGAATCAATCAATAAACAAATCATAAGCCCTAAATCTCTTCTCCTCTCTTGGTTCGTGATTCCCTTTTAGTCTCAATCTTTATTCTGCTTCTTGTCTCAATTTCTGAAGCTTGAAAACACTCAAAGCTTTTTCCTATCCGATACGAGTTCGCCGTATATTAATTACATTAATAGTTACACTTGGCCCATTATACTCATCAATGTGAACATTGTTTTTTTGTTAATATTCTTGTTGTTGTTTTAAACAGAAATATATCCATTTTTTAGTGTGGCGTTTAGTAATGGATCGGATTGGACGTGATGTTGCTAGTGCGATGGACGATCATATCCTGACCGTACTGTTCAAGATAGTCCATACTCTAAAAGAGTTTGGGTCTGTTGGGACTGCGCGTGCCCTCACCCCAACCCCACATTAGTATGATATTGTCCGCTCTGGGCCAAGCCCTCACGGATTTGTTTTTGGGCACCTCCCAAAAGGTCTCATACTAATGAGGTTGGGTGAACCTATATATTTTGGTCCATTTTTTCTTCTCCCTCCGGTGTGGGACTTGGAGGAATCCCCAAAAGGGTCGAACAAAACTTATTAGACATAAAAGTTTGTCCATGTTGATATGATGCAACCATTTAATTTAGATAGATATGTGGATGACAGAGTGTGTATAAAGAACTTTTAAATGAATATAATAATTTTAAATTTATAATAAAATTCTATCTACAAATTTATGTAGATAAAATCAATCTAATACTTTTAAATTTTAAAAAAAGGGGGAAATGTAAATTATAAAGCAATATATAGTTTATCTTACTTTAGCCCTGAAAATGATCAAAGAGGCATTGTACTTGTAGTGCATGGATTTGAGGGATGGTGGAATGGCAGAATCAACAAGGCATACCATAGAAACCCACTGTCCTCTGTTCAATGAATCCCCAACATACACAAGCCTCTTATTCCTTAGTTTCTCAAGCAATTTCATGGCATTGAACCTACCTTATATCATATATTTATCAACACCAAAACATTCCATTCATTACCCAAAGCTCAAAACACTATTATACACAAAGAGAGAAAAGGCAATAGGGGTAATTAACATATTTGAACATATATGCAAATAAATCAAACTATTTAAAAAAATGATGACTTAATTGACAAATTAAACCTTGGAAGATGGCATTGGTTAGGTTGCCACCGCCAACATTGATAGTCCAAATCTTTTCTTCCAAACTTTTGGCACGCCAACTGATCCGACATGAAGGTGCATTCGTGCTCCTTGTACAAAGGGTAGCGCGACGTGTTGTCGTATACCCATTTTCCCGAATACAAATCACAACTTGATGGCGACGGCGTGTCTTCCACCGCCACGCTTTCCGGTGGGCTGCCGCTGAAAAAGACAGTTTTTGCCTCCCCGGAGAGATAAACAACTCCGAGGACAACGGCCGTGGCGATGAGGAGGGAGCAGAAAGAGCTCTTGACGTCCCATAGTGCAGCCCCACAAGGGCTTCTTGTAGGAATGAGTGACGATGTTGATAGTAATTCGTATGTTTTAGCCATGTAGCTTCACAACCTAATAGGGAGTATTATATTGTTGTTGCATGTAGTATTATTATATAGTAGTAGTATATGAATGTTCACATATATGTATACCCCTCTTCCAAAAACAGTTCTATTTTTATTTTTTGTGCAATCCACAAACCATATTAACCCCACCTAAAATGTCTAAAAATACATCATTGGTATCAAATGTCACGGAGGACGCTCTTGAATTTGGTAATTGTATAGGCATCATATTCCACTGACAGATAAAAATTGTCCGTGAAATTCTTTTTTGATGTCAAAGTGGTGTACATCAACTTTAATTGAAGTTAAAGATGTCTCTCAGATCCGGTCGGGCGTTCACTTAGAAGAAATAAATTGAAATTTGATCGTAGACTGATGAGAATGAAGTAGAGATCTTACGCTCTTAATTGAAGTGAAGAATAGTCTTACTGTGGTTGGTTGGTTAATGAGTGAAAGGTGCAGGGCCAACCGTACTTGATGATGCTTCCAGCGAGCCTTCATATTCATCATTACTTATTCTTAAAGTTTACGTTTAGTATAAACCACAACTTGGGTGAGACCATTTAAACCAAAAAAGAGAGCCACCCTATCCCTGAGAGCCCCTCGCTCGGACTATATATCTGAGAGAAAGTAAATGAAGCTTTGATTTCAAGTGAACAGTAAGGAATGAAATGTCTCTAATCCGAATAAATAATATTTATGCAGAACATAAATCATCTCACACTTGCTTTCGCTAGGAGTCAAACTTGGTCATTACGTTCTTTCACACCCCCTATTGACCATTTGACCAATAAGGCAGGTAAGACCATTTATTTCAAGATGAGAGATTAGTTAGCTATATTCAATTGTACTTTCTCATGCCCAAAAAATATATATGCATTTTCAAGTAATACTTGAACAAATTAAAGGCAACAGTTTTTTTTATCAAAACAAACTTCTTAAGGTATTAAATTAATGGGGCAACGTATTGAGCAAATTCGGCAATTCTCATGATCACTCCAAATTAGGCAAACGATTCCTTTTGAGAGACCTTTCGTTGTTTTGTCAAATCATTTTTTTTATTTTTATCAAACTAAATTTCACCTCTTTTTGTTTCATACCTTAGATTGTTAATAAATAAAGCCGTTCATGAATCGACTCAGATTCGACTCAATAAAGCTTGATCAAGTTCCTTTGTTTATACTCCCTCCGTCCCGTTTTAAATCGCATGTTTTGACTTTTGGACATATTTAAGAAAAAGAAAAAATAGAATTGATTTTTCGAAATTATCATTACTTTTTAGAAGGGGTGACTATGAATTAGAAAATAATGTGGAAAAGGATGACTTATTTTAGGGGTAGTTTAGGTATTTTATTTTTAAAAATTTACGATAACAACTAACATGCAATTTATTTTGGGACAGAGAAAAAAGGCAAACAGGCAATTTAAATTGGGACAGAGAAAGTACTAGTCTAAAAATGAAGCTCAAGTTCAACTCAATTTCCAAAAAGGCAAACCTTCATCAAATCTCAAGCGCGTCCAATAAAATTTTGCAATCTCGAATACATATACAAAGTAGAGCTGGCAAATCGATCGACCAGTTCGAGTTCGATCACTTTGGATTCGAATTACTTCAGGTTCAGGTTAAAAACTACATACTAATGAGCCAATGACATCGAGTTTGAGTCGGCACAACGGATTATAACCTTTATTTATTTTTAAAATTTTAAGTAATTCTTATAACCCAATATCAATATTACGAATAAAAAAAACTATACATGCAAAAATTGTGAAAACAGTAAGATAATTATGTGATATTATTAAAAATATGTATGAAAATATAAATTTATACATTAAAAACGAATAGTACGAAAATAAATATAATTATAATCTTATTTTTATAACATTATATTTCATATTAAAGTATGGTTTTGAAAAATTATTACATTAATAGGTCAGTCAAGTCGGGTTGGGTCGATTTTGACCCATTTTTAGCAGGTCGTTTGGAGTTCGATCAACAAAACCTTTGTTCAAAACCATTTTTTTCGGGTCAGGTCTCGAGTCAAAAACAAGTCAGGTCACTTTTTGACAAGTCTAATACACATTAATACATAGGGTTGACCCAATATGTTAAAGAGTGGGATTTTTGGTACAATTGACCCATGTGTTATCCAGTTAATCACACCATAATTACATATGTTAATGACATGCGCACTGGCTATAGTTTCAACGGTATAGACGCGCGCAAAAAATGAATTAACACCATTTCCATTCACTACCCATAAATAGCATTTCCATACAATGTTACAAGGGCAAAAAAGTTATCATCTTTCTTGTTTGCCGAATTTGGATTGATGGAAGGGTAATGTGCTACATAACATGAAGGAGAAACATGCCCTAAATAGTAAAAATGAAAAGGCCAAAGTTTCACCAAATCTTTTATGAGTTACTCGTTATTGGAACCTATGAGAAGGCCAGAAAAGAACACATACCTTCTCACGAACCATTGATTCAATGAAGAAAGCGCAGAAAATCTGGAGATGTCCAAAACTCCAAAAACAAATGAAGCTCAAGAAGAGCAAGCTGTAGAAGCCCAGAGAAGTTCTGCAGAAGCTGAGAAGGAAACTCAAATGGCAGAACTGGAGGCCTCCAAATCTCCAGTAGCCATTTTTGAAGAACAAAATGAAGCTGAAGAAAGAGACTCCCTCTCAAGGGATATATCAAATTTCATACTTGGGGAAGCAGAAGAATCTGAAAGAACTCTAAAGATCAATGATGAAGAAGATGTGCAAGATGATGCTGAATCTCTTCCTATGCAACTTTTCCAAAGAACACCCTCTTCTCATCAGGTAACCAACTTCCATTTCCATAGCTCTTCCATTTCTACTCTTCCGGATGAGGTACCGGAAATCTGGACAAAGAAGGTCCAAGGGTTGATTGAATCAGCCCTAGCATCTCAACATGCCTCCTTTAGGCAAGAGATAGAGCAGATGGAAGCCAGGTACAACAAACTGATTGAGAAATCCGAAGAGACACACTTCTCCAATCTCAAGGAGATAAGCAAATCAGTGGATAAAACTCTAGAGATCATTTCTCTATTGAGTAACACTGTGAGCAACACGATGGAGACATATGCATCTGACAGTTCTCTTCAACTCAAGGAGGTTAACAAAATCAGAGAGCAAATAGCAAATGTCACAGTTAGTCTACAAAAACAAATGTCCATTCTCCAAATGGACATCAGAGCAGCTCTGGCAGTGTCTTCAGCAAATCAAGTAGTAACCAAAGACTACTTGAAGGTAATCATTGACAATCAGAAGGAAGCACACAAACTATTTAGACTTCTTACCACAAATTCTGGAAATCGCAAAATGGAAGTGGTTTTTCAACAACACAGTCCATCCTTGATTCCAGAGCTCTCTATTGCAGTCAAAGAAGGAGAAGTCTCTTACATTCCTACGCATCTAAACTTGACTGGTCTAGTCCTTGAAGCTCAGAGAAGTAATCCGGAAAACTCAACACAGCGTCTATCCAGCTCAGGATTGGATGGAACAGAGGCTGTAGGAAAAATTGCTGCTCACTTCTCAAATGAAAACCAAACAGAGGAGAGACGCAACAACATAAGGCGCATCAAAGAACTATGTGGAAACATGCAAGGCATCAGGGAGATTGCCGAATCTTCAAAGCGCAAGAAGCACTGAAGGTTTTTTTTCATCAAACCAGGGGGAAAGTATGTGAAAACATTAATTTGCTTTGATGAAAACACCTTCTTGTTTAAACATTGCTTTATTGGTTTAAACATTGCCTTAATATTTCTCTTAATTGTGCTTACTATGCTTGATTATACCTATTTCAAGTATGATTTTGAGATTTATTCCTAGCGCATACATTCAGGGGGAATGCAATTCAGGGGGAACTTAACTAGTTTTTGGCTAACAATTGTTTTTGGCAATGAATTATTGATGAGCTCTAAGCAATGGAAGACGGATATCTCAGTTTTGGTACTAAAATTGGAAATCTCCGATTCAGGTACTTTACAAAATCTGCCTTCTTAAACTAAGCTTCAGTCCTTAATTCATTTCCAACAAGCTCTAAAAGTACTGGTCCTTAGGATTTTTAAAATGTACAGGACTTTGGAAAAATAGTACCACTTTTCTTTTAAAAATAAAATTCATATTTGTTTTGGTACTACCTCGTCCTAAGTA